ATTTGAATTTAAATTGTGTTTGCTGAAAATATTTGGAGTTCATTTTCTTAAATTTATTGTAGGCTTTTCTTTAAGGAGAGAAACAACCCTAATTTATTTAATGTACATATGTTGACTTGGTTAATTTGTGCCCTTAATTATCAAGGTTGAAGACAAACTTAAAAGGCACAAATTGGAGCAGAGATTTCATACTGTTTTCAACAAATTTATTGAAAATTAAACAGAACCAATACTAGGTCCTTTCTTTTTGTACTTTAGAATTTTAAATAAGGAAAGCATTCTGAGCAGCAGAATTGCAATAGTTTGTTCTTACTGGTGGTGATTTTATTGTTCAACAATTTCTTTGTCTAGATAAGTTGTGTGAGAATTGGGAAGTATTCCAGGGTCATAGAAAAAGATATTGACAAAAGAAGTATCTACTCTGAGGCGAAGTCAGCATTCCTCCAGATTGTACATATTTCTTGCTAGGCTAATGGTAAGACTTGTGAAAATAGCCATTATATGGTAACTTTTTAATGAAAGGCGTCATTTCTTCCAGTCACAGCCTAGACTGGGACTTGAAGTCTGAGCCTTACATTCACTTAGCTTTCTTTCTCATAACTGGTACACTTGAGCCATGTTTATAGCCTGATATATTTGCTAGTTAATTGGAAGAGTCTCACACAATGTTCTGCCCTTGCTGGCTTTCAAGCATGATCCTTCAGTTTCCTGAGTTGCTAGGATTACAAGCATGAACCACTAGTACCTATGTGGGAACATTGTGCAATATCTTCTAACACCTTGATGATTGCTTACCTTTGGAACCTAAATCACCTCCTAGTTTTACAGTAGCCATTTTCTGTACAGTTACTATTTGGTATTTTTATGTACAATAGTTTTTTTTTCTGCTTATGTGGTGCTGAGGAATTGAACCAAGGCCTCATGCATGCAAGGCAAGCACTCTACCACTGAGCCACCTTCCCAGCCCATATGTACAATAGTTAATAAGCACTTGATGTGTACTTTTGATAATACAATCTAAAAGGTCACTTTTGATACAGTACATGTCCTCTATTGTGGGCAGTAAAATACTTCAGTTGCGGTAGAAAAATGTCATGAAGAAAAACGATAGTTATAAAGAAATTGGGGAGGGGGTCTGGGAAAGTGGCTCAGTGGTAGAGCGCTTGCCTTGCATGCATGAGGCCCTGGGTTCGATTCCTCAGCACCACATAAGCAAAAAGAAAAAAGCCGGAAGTGGCACTGTGCCTCAAGTGGTAGAGCGCTAGCCTTGAGCTGAAGAGCTGAGGGACAGCATCCAGGCCCAGAGTTCAGGCCCCACGACCGCCCCCCCCCAAAAAAAGAAATTGTGTGTGTGTGTTGGTTTGGGGGCTCAACCTAATGGCCTGGACATTGCCTCTGAACTACTTCTTTTGCTCATGGACAGCACTTGACCCAAAGAAACATGGGCTGCATATTTTCCCTCATTTATAATAACCTGAATAACCAGAGTATGTCTAGGATATTTTTAGTAGACAATCACAATAGCTCAATAGCTAGGTGCATATGACCACACAAAATGCTTGTGGAAATGAACTCCAAGAAATAGAAACAAAAGGTTTTTATAGTGTACTGTTTGCACAGTTATTTTTTTCTTTTTTCCTTTGGTTTATGCCATTGCCTCATTTTAATTTCTGTATCCTTTATCTACTATATGTTTATGTGATTTGCAGAAGGGAAGGGAAATCACAGAAACGGTAGGACAAAGGGTGAACCAATGCAACAATGATACTCAGGAGACACTATGCTGGAAATGAACTTTACAACTCTGGGGGAGAAATGCTGGGGGGAGAAGCAGGAGAAAATGAGGGAGGAGGTAACTTCTAAAAGAAATGTACTCACTACACTACTTATGGAACTGTAACCCCTCTGCCTATCACCTTTATAATAAAAAAAATTTTAAAGAAAGGATAGCACTTGAGCCACAAGTCCATGCTTTTTTTTGTTTTTGTGGATTTTTGGTGATTAATTGGAGATGAGTCCCACAGACATTCTTATTGGACTGTCTTGGAGGCACAATCTTCAGATTTCAGCTTCTTGGATAGCTAGGATTATAGGCATGAGTCACCAGCACCTGGCAGGAAAATCAACTGTAATATGAATATTTGTTGTTGTTTTGAGTCCAGTCATGGGGCCTGAACTCTGGGCCTGGGCGCTGTCCCTCAACTCTTCAGCTCAAGGCTAGTGCTCTACCACTTGAGCCACAGCACCACTTCCGGCTTCTTTTTGTTTATGTGGTGCTGAGGAATTGAACCCAGGGCCTCAGACATGCAAGGCAAGCACTCTACCACTGAGCCACCTTCCCAGTCTTAATATGAATATTTGTGAAGGTAAATTTCAACCAAAGGAGTATACTTGTTTCAGGGCACATAAAAACAATTGCAAATATTAAAATTATTATAAGTACTGGCTCTGTTTAAGATCTCCAATAATTATAAAACATACTCTACATTAACATCCTATGTTCATATTAATAACTTGTTACCAGTAATTCTATTTATGAATATTTCTAACATGTGAATTGTCAATATCCTTCTTACCTATGGAGCTTTTTCTTCTTCTTCTTTTTTTGGTGCTGGTCCTGGATCTTGATCTCAGGGTCAAGGCTCTGCACCTGACTTTTTTGCTCACACCTATGCTCTATTACTTGAGCCACAGCTCAACTTCCAGCTTTTTGGTAGTTATTGGAGAGAAGAATCTCATGCACTTTCTTTCCTGGGCTGGCTTCAAACTGTGGTCCTCAGTCTCTCGAGTAGTTAGGATTATAGGCACCCAGATAAGAAACACAAGCTGTAGTCTAAAACTTAGCTGATGAAATAAATCAATGAGAGGCTTACATTCTTTTGTTGAGAAGACTGAGATGTAACTGATAATTCAGTTTCACTGCCACAGTAGGTTGTAGCACATAATTATCCTTAGGCCTCATCAGACTTAAAAGAAAAGCTTGACACACCATGGGAAACTAGGTTCTGTATGCTTGGTTAGTGTCCTATCACAGCATGGAAAAACAAGAAGGTTTGCAAGCTGTGATTGGAATAAGGATGTTTTTGTGGGTTTTTAAAAAAGTGTTTTTCTACCATAGAATTCTAAGTAGTTGAAAGGCTATCATCAAATTTCATATAAAATCTTTATTAGCTCTCAAGAATTAGTACAGGTAAAAACACTTTGGGGTATTAATCATCCAGACATGTGAAAATCCTAGTTGGAAGACACTGATTAAACAGAATCATTGTATAATCCAAGAAACATATTCTGTCCAAAAGGAATAAGGCCTAAAGAAACCAATTATTTCAATTATTATTAATGACTTTGTGATTTTACATATAAATATATATCCCATATATATTAGGGAAAATATGGGATACCAAAAAATTCTTATTGTAATTACTCCGTACTTAAGCGCTTAAACTTATTTATTTTTGGTGTTGATCTTGGGGCTTGAACTTAGGGCCTGGGCACTGTCCCTGAGCAATTTTACTCATTTAGTGCTCTACTAGTTGAGCCATAGCTCCACTTCTGGCTTTTTGGTGCTTAATTGGAGTATGGGCTGGCTTGGAATCATAATCCTCACATCTCAGCCACCTGAGTATAGCTAGGATCACAGGTGTGAGTCACTTGCACCCAACTGACCTTAAACTTTCTATACCATTATCACTGTAAAGTTTTATAATTACATTTCTAATTTATATTTTAATGCAGATATTTGTTATGTATTAATTTCAATCATTTAATGTAACTTATATGCTATTTTTTCACCTAAAATCTATACAATATTTTATTCTTTCTGCATGTGATTTTTGCTATAGTGAATATAGGAACATCCTTCTGTATTCAGGACTTGTGGTCTGTTTGACTGGGAGAAGGGGAGATGGATTAAGTAAACAGTGCATTGCAGCATAAAAGTTCTGTTAGAACTTAAAAAGTCTGTGCAAGTTACTCCTGCATCAGTGCTCTCTATGGAAAGGACCAACCACAGCTCCAAGTGTCATGAAGCTGTTTCTGATGTCACTGGTAATCTACATAGATAATGGATCTCAGAAAGGTATTTTCACCAATTCATATGATTTTGTTTTGCCTTTGTAATCACAAAAATATGTAGTCAGCTTCCGCATGTCTTTTAAGAAAGCTGGGCACTAGTAGCTTATGCCTTAACCTTAACTACTCAGGAGGCTAAGATCTGAAGATCTTAGATTTGAAGCCAACCTGGGCAGGAAGTCCATGAGATTCTAGCTTGTTAACCACCAAAAGGATGAAAAGTGAAGCTGTGGTTTAAATGGTAGAGCTCTAGCTTTGTGAAAAATAGCTAAGGGAAAGTGTTCAGGCCTTGAATTCAAGCCCTAGTACTGGCACCAAAAATAAGATGTTTTTTAAAATTAAAAAGAAATTATTTAAAATATATTTTAAAATATTTATGCACTATGAAATAGCATGGTAAAACACACTAAAAAAAATACAGGAAAGTAAATAGGCTCTATTGGAGGAGTGGATACCACCAGAAGAGGGGCATGAATAAATATGAATACAATCAAATTAGCTTATTTACGTGTATGAAAATATAACAAACCCATTAAAACTGTTTTAAGGAGCAAGTAAAAAGTTGATTGGGATACAATGCATACATGTGCAGAAATGTCACAATGAAATCCTCCTCTGTAAATCTAATGTATGCTAATTTAAAAACATAACAAGAAACAAAATATAAAACATAATGCACTCATTAAAATTTAACATATAAGCTGGGTGCCAAAGGCTCATGCCTGTAATCCTAGAGATCTGAGGATTGCGGTTCAAAGCCAGCCTGGGCAGGAAAGTCCGTGAAACTCATCTCCAATTAACCACCAGAAAACCAGAAGTGGCTCAAGTGGTAGAGCCACTTGAGCTGAAAAGCTGAGGGACAGTGCCCAGGCCGAGTTCAAGACCCACGACCGAAAAAAAAATTAACATATAAAATACAATTTTAATTATACAGTATTTTTATTTAGTCTTTATTAAACATTACAGAGATTTTACTAGAACAAAGACTATAACACTTAAGTTTAACAGAGACTGTCAGTGAAAGCTTTGGGATCAACTACAAGTTCAAAGTAGCCAAGTCAAGGCTGAACTGGCCAGAACTACCACACATGTACAGGGGAGATATCTGTTCTACTTGTAGGGGAAACAGACCATGGGAAACTTAACAGTATAACCAGATACACACATATAATAATGTAAAATACTTGCAAAAGGAAAGTAACTCTATGTCTAAGTCTTAGTTTTCTCCTTGCATTAAATATGTCTTCCTGTCATAAGGTATTGGGTTTCTCTTTTCCAAAGGAAGATCACCTTCTTGAATTTAGGATTCCCTTAATTACTGCTTGGACTATGATACAAATGTCCAAGTACTCTCAACCTCAAACTTTAAAACCAAATTAGGTAGTAGCTCTTATGAAAATGGGGCTAAATGTTCCATTACTTTTAACAGATGAAGTATTAACTGACAAGAATAGTCTATAGGAGTTTCTCTGCCTACCTGGTAAAACATAGACTACAAAACAAGAAAACTAAAAAATTTGTTAAATGCTAAGAGTAATATTTTTAACTCTTGATTTTTTTTTAAACCAAATGGATACCATCCTTATATGGAAGCTGGTTACCCACAAACTGGGATCTATACTGAATGAAATGGTCCACTATTTATGCAAAGTCCAATGCTCTGTGCAACTAATTCCAACCAAATGATCCCTCCACACTGATTCTTGGGAAGGATATGAGAAAATTACTTACATTCAGATTTAGGGCTTAATGACCTTTGAGAAGGTTATTAAGAAGTCATTTGGGTCTCATCAGTGGAGACTTTAAATAACCAGGTTGTTCCTTCAACTTTCCCAGCAGTCATCACAGGCAAGGCCAGTACAAAATATTGCTAGTCTCTAAAGTCAGATAAAGCAACATCTAACTAGGTGGATTCCTTGATTTTTCAGGTAACACAGCTTTAAAAAACAAACAAAATTCTAATACTACAAACTTAAGTACATCCTGTTAAGCTGTTTCAAATTATTTCCAAAACCATTAAAGCAGGGTTTAGCATTATACATAGCTGTTGTTTGGTTTACCAAAAAATATCTTAAAGTTCTGAGGTGATTTTACTGTTATACAACCGAAAAAAAAATCTCAAATCTTAGCATTTTAACAAGTCATCTTTCAAGTGTTTATGTTTTTAAAGTGTAGTTAACATACTGTAGACAGTTTGTTATCACTGTATATTGGTTGTTGTCTTATGTGGTATAATATAATCTTCAGATTTTTATATATCAACAACTTAAAATGAACAGACTCAATCCCTCCTCCCACTACCCTCAATTAAAAAAAAAGGAAAACAGAAAATAAAAAGACAAGAAACCTAGTCAGGCTTTAGGAGTAATGAAACCCCAATTGTTTACATGTGGAGATGCAGAAGGCTTTATATACCCATTCTACGTGCCACAGAGCACACTGAGACTACAAGTTTTCAAGAGGCTCCAGTGGATTTCTGGATTTGTTCCTTTAAGATCAAGATACTCTGCCTTTGCTCGGGAGGCAGCATGGCAATCTGATCTGCAGTCAGCTGAAGAACCTGCATGATCAACGCTGCTTTTTCTTGATCCTGTGGAGTTACCTGGCTCTGCCCAGGACTAAAACTGTTAGGCTGGCCTCCACCTTGCTTGCTTGCTCCCTGCATGCCTGCTCCCTGCATACCTCCTCCTTGCATGCCAGCTCCCTGCATGCCTGCTCCCTGCATACCTCCTCCCTGCATGCCTGCTCCCTGCATACCTCCTCCCTGCATGCCTCCTCCCTGCATGCCTGCTCCCTGCATACCTCCTCCCTGCATACCTGCTCCCTGCATACCTGCTCCCTGCATACCTCCTCCCTGCATGCCTGCTCCCTGCATACCTCCTCCCTGCATACCTCCTTGCATTCCCCCTTGCATGCCTGCGCCCTGCATGGCTCCTCCCTGCATGCCTGCTCCCTGCATGCCACCCCCAGGATTTCCTACTCCTGAAATGCTTGGGACCTGTCTAGGTCCTGGAGGCCCACTTGCCCCAAGGTTAATGGGACCTGGACCCTGGATTCCACCAGTCATAGGGCCTCTGGAACTTGGGCCAGGGCCACGCATCTCTAATCCTCTTGCATCCATGCCTCGGGCTTCCATTCCTCTGGCTTCCATCACACATGTGTCCATTCCTCTTCTCTCCATTACTCGAGTTTCTAAGACTTCAGTCTCCATGGCTCGAGTCTCCATCCCTCGAGATTCTCGACCTCCTCTGCCATCCATAGGTAGACCCCTTTGATCTATCATGGGTCCTCTCGGCTCTCCAATTAGCATTCGGGGATCTGCCATTGGTCCTCCTCTCATATCATGTGAAGAGGGGCCGCGACTATCATGGTGCACGGGGGGACCTTGATGGGGTGGGCCCATATAGCCCCTGGGCTCTACCTCTCCAGTAACAGACAGCAAAGTCCCTCCACGTGGGTCATTTGGAGCATCTCCTAACAGTCCTCTAGGAGGCAGGCCAGCAGCAGTCATGGGTCCACGAGGCATAGGAGCTCTAGGATCAGACATCTGCACTTGTCCTCGCTCTAAAGGCACTGGGCCCACCCCCGGCATTCCAACTTGGGGCTGCATTGCTCCTCCAGGAGTTATGGAACCGGGGCCTGGGCCAGGAACTGCTGTGGGCATTGGCCCTGGAGCTGGAATTCCACCCTGAATAGGAGTCTGCATCAAAGGTGGGATATCCTTCACAGATCTTCTCGCCAAATGCTGAGGCTGAGGGGCTGGAGGATTCTGCTGGTTTAACATAACATTGGGTCCTGGACAGAGTCCAGATGCAGGCCCAGGTCCAGGCCCGGGTCCAGGAACAGAGCCAGCCTGAGACTTGCCAGGGATCAGTGGTGTGACATGTATCTTGCGATGCAGAATTTTCAGCGCAATCTCAGGATCCATGATTCTCATCACGACTTGGGCCTGCAGCAGCGCATAAGCCAGTTGTGGGTTCTGAAGCAACATGTTCCGAGCTTCCTGGTGGCTGTTTTGGACACACAGTTTCATCTGCTTCATCAGCTCAAACATCTGCTCCGGGGGGAGACTGGCGACTGCTCTAGTGATCGATTCCGGGGCGTCTTCCGGATCGATGGGGTCTCCGTAGGGGGAGTCAATAATGGGCGCCGCGGGCCCCAGGCTCTTTAACTCCTCCTTATTCTTCTCGCTGGCGGCGTTGTCCACCCGCAGCGCTCGCCCACTGAACTCCCGCCCGTTGAGGTTCCGCATGGCGCTGAGCGCGGTCTCCTGGTCCTGGTACTCGCAGAACCCATAGCCCTTGGGCTTGCCCGTCTCCCGGTCGTACACCAGCCGGAAACTGACCACAGAACCAACCTCTGAGAAAATGTCCTTCAGCTGCTCCTCGGTTGCCTCGTACGGAATGTTCCCCACGAACACCGAACGCAGGGATCGATCCATGGCGGGGTCTCTCACCGCCAAACTCGACATGATTCCGGTCGGGGACGCCGCGGCGGCGGCCAGGGGGATTCTGCCAGCGTCGTGTTCCTCCGGCGACCCCCCGACACGCGCGCACTTCCGCCGAGCGACGGAAGCCGCTGCCGGAATCCGGACGGAAACCTGCGAGCTCCGCTTCAAGAGTTCCGCCGCCCCACAGGAAACGCGTCTTGAGCCCGCCCACCCCCCCTCCGCTAACTCCGCTGGCACCCCCACCACACACACACACCCCTAACTAGACATCCATGGTCCTTCCGTCTCCGCAGTACTGTTTACTCAGATTCCTCTCCCGTGTCTTATTCTGCAATCTTCGCAGCGCTCGGCCGCCTCCGCCACCGGCAACGCCACCTGGGGTTCCGTTTTAGTTGACCACAGTAAACATGGCCGCCGGGGGCTTCACCATGGTAACCGGGAGCGTCGTCCTCCCCTGACGTCACCGACGGTTTGATTGCCGTCCGCCGGCGGGAAACCGCCAACCGCCCCGGGCTTGTCCTTAGCCAGGCCTCCAGGGCTCAGTGGGCTATTTTCTCTCTTGTGATAGATTGTTGAACTGGATTTAAAGTCACAATCCAGGCTGTAAGGCAAAAGTGTACTCACTTTCCAGCAGAGTTGAGATCCCTTAAAATGCAACGTAATTGCCCGCTTCTTAGATAAGTTTTAGCCATCAAGTTTTACTTTTTGGAAATAAATTAACTTTTTTTTGGAAAGAAAGAAAGAGAGAAAGGAAGGAAAGAAAGGAAGGAGAAAGAAAGGAAGAAAACAGCTAGGCGCCAGAGGCACAGACCTGTACTCCTAGCTACTCAAGAGGCTGAGATTTTAGGATTGCATTTCCAAGCCAGGCAGGGTAGGGAAGTTGGAACTGAAGCTGTGGGCTCAAGTGGTAGCCTTGAGCAGAGGGATGGTACCCAGGACTTGAGTTTGAGCACCAGGACTTGCACCAAAAACTAAAAGACAAACTGAAGCTTCTGCCAGTTGCTTGTTCACCCTCATCCTGTTGTGTCCTATAAATAACAAATAGCAAATCTAAGTTTTATTTTCTCCATACACAAGCATCTATCATACTGTATTCATAATTTGTGTTTTTTTTTTCATTTATATTAAGATCTCTGTGTGTGTGTGTGTGTGTGTGTGTGTGTGTGTGTGTGTAGTGGGTCTTAAACTCAGTGTCTGGGTGCTGTCCTTTAGCTTCTGAGCTAAATAATGTCACTGTACACCTGAGCCACAGCTCCAGTTTCAGCTTTATGCTGGTTAATTGGAAATAAACATTCTCAAGGACTTTGCTATCACAACTACCCCTGGATCCTTAGATCTTAGACACCTGAGTAGTTAGGATAGCAGGCATGAGCTTTGGGTGCCAGGCTACATTTTAATATTAATAATCACTCAGTGACTAGAGCATACATTAATTGAATTTTTTTATATTGTATTTAGATTTTGATTTTTATTGTGAACTCTGATACAGGAGTCTATTGCCCATGAAGTGAAAGTAGGCTTTTTGTTTTGGGTATTTTGTGTGTGTATGTGTGGTAGTAGTAGTAATAGTAGTAGTAGTCCTGGGGTTGGAACTCAGGGCACTGTGCATGACTTTTGTGCTTCAGGCAAGTGCTCTTCTACTCCTTTGGCTTTTGGGTGACTCATCAGAGGTAAAAGTGTCTCCAGGGCTTCCTTCAAACCTCCCGAGTATCTAGGATTACAGTCTTATAAATTGACTTTAGCTCTCTCCACCCACCAGTCCCTCATTTGACTACAGAAGTGAATGATAAGAAAGAATTGCCTGTCATTTTATGTTATAGTATTTTTTTCTTTTTTTTGGGGGGGAGGGTCTGGTCGTGGGTCTGAACTCTGGGCCTGGGTGCTGTCCCTCAGCTCTTCAGCTCAAGGCTAGCACTCTACCACTTGATCCATAGCGCCACTTCCGGTTTTTTTTCTGCTTATGTGGTGCTGAGGAATTGAACCCAGGGCCTCATGCATGCAAGGCAAGCACTCTACCACTGAGCCACCTTCCCAGCCCACAGTTTTTCCAAGTTAGTATTTGGGAGACTGAATAAGTGATGATGTAGAACTGGAAGGAAATCATAAGATCTAGATTATCAACAAAGGCTTCTGGGCAGAAATGGGATTTAGGGATTGGTGCTAATCTAGTATATATCAACGATAAAAAAGGTGAAGCCAGGACCAATTTGAAATTTGGTATAATATACTGCAAGCAGTGTAATTAAAGAGAAGTCTCTGGAAATAAAATAAAAGTTTAAATATCTAAATCACAAGAACAAATTATGTTAAAGTCAGTATGCTTTTTCTGGAATATGAACATAAAATATTAATAGATGTGTCATAAAGAACACTCATTTTAACTGATTATTTCTCATGTTAACTTTTGGGCTTTTCTGTTACTTTTCATCAACAATAGAAGTTGTACTTCAGGCTTTTAACAGCTCCTCTTGTGGCTTCTCATTATTCCTCCTCCTCCTCCAAAATGGTACTATTCACTTTTTACAGTATAAGGTCTGTACTTTTCTACTTCCTGGCAGTAGCTTATCCTGTTTCCTTGTTGAGAACTTCTTACACTTACTCCACTATACCTACATCCTCATCCTTCAGCTTTCACCTCTAGGGCTTTCTTTCTAAAATCTGAATATTGATTTGGTGCCCACAATTTCCTATCTTGTACTGGACACCTCTATGAGATAAGTGTAGCCTCTCAGTTGAGAAAGGAACAGAGGCACAGGAAGTTGATGAATGTGCTCATGTTAACTAATAAAGCCAGGCTTTCAACATACACCATTTGGCTTAAGAAATCAAGATGGAAATTTTTTGCTGTATTCAATGAATTGCCCAATGATAGATACTGTTCCTAAGAGGCAAAGATACAGCCTTTCTCTTGATTGTATTCTTTTTCACAATTAATCCAGTATTATGGATTACTGGGCACAGTTTTTCTTGCCATTTTTCCTGATGAACTCTGTGTGTTACTAATTGTAGCTTTGACGTGACAGTGCTCTGTCAATAGATGGCAATTTTCAGTGCTACAAGACAATAACATGTAAGGATTTTTTTAAGCACACAATTACACATGTAATGAATGCTTTTTAAAAAAAGTTTGCATAGGTATTGGGGATTGAACTCAGGGTCTAGGCACTGTCCCTTAGCTTTTTTGCTTAAGTCTGGCCCTCTATCACTTGGACCCTTCCTCTACTTCTGACTTTTTGCTAGTAAGTTGGAGATAAGAATCTCACAGACTTTTGTATCTTAGCTGGATTTGAACTTCAGAGCTAAGCCTCCTGATTAGCTAGGATTACAGGCATGAACCTTTGGCACCTGACTTTTCTATAATATGAGTCCCAATTTCTCAGCCCTCAAGTTGGCCTATAATACATTTACCTCTCAAATTAGTGCACCTAATTTGAAATAATAGAGCGAAGTTGTTAGACCTATGATAAACCAATTCTCTCAGCAAGACCAGTATTACCTAAGTCTGAGGGTTCTGAGAATATGCCACACTAGGACTGGAAGTTGACATCAAGCCAAATTCTCTTCATGGAAAGAATTTTCCAATATGAAGACAATGAGGTTTGCAGAAGCTGAATGCCTATTGTGTCAAGTGCCTGAGGCTTAGTCTGTAATGGAATCTAGATCTTCAGACTTTGCTTTCCAAAGGATGCTTTCAGGCAATATTGTGAAGGAGGATTGAGCACAAATTTCAGTGTCAGAGAAATTTGGGTTAGCAGGAAATTGTGTTGCTAAACACAACTGGGGTAAATTTAGTTGATAAACTCTCTGTATTTCCATTGCAGTATCATTTAAATGAGAATATAACCTATTGTCTAGGATGCATATTATATTTTTGTTATTTATCATTACATGGTAATTCATAATTGTAGATACAATTACTCATTGTTTGGTAATTATCTAAGCTGGAGTAATATATGAACCAAAGTTCTAAGTAGAAAGAGACACACATCTCTTTGGGGGGGTCTACGTCTTCATTTTTATCATTGAACCAATGGGACTCAGTGAACTAATGGTTCATTGTCAGATTACATTATTTAAACCAGTATAGAGGTAGGATTAAAAGGTGAATAGTCATTTTCATGTGGCAGAGTTATAACAGCCTAGTAAAATAATTTTACTAATCACCTTGGTGCTTACTAGGTTCTTATACTAAATCTTGGAATTCTTTCTTTAAATAGCTCAAATTCCACTTATTCATTTATATTAATTGGGCCTATGGGGAATACAGATTTATCCACCACTGCATTGGTGTGGAGAATACAGACTTATTCAACACTGCACTTCTCTGGCACACAGGATATCTATTTGAGCAGTGAACCCTGTTCAGGATGTCATTAGAGCTACTCCTGTTGAGGGCACTCTGGTAGACAAGACCGTTTATTCAAACATGGGTAGCCATGACTAATTGGACAAGCAGATCTTCCTTCTTGGAGCGTCTGTCAGCTAAACGAACACAGAAAAAGGAAGGAAGTAGCTTCATATGCTGTGAAAAAGTACAAGCCTGGAATCCAGGTCTGAATACAGAAACCTTGCTTAAAATGTACAACCCAGGAACTTTTTTTTTTTGCTATGATCAGAATGATCTAATAACCAAATTCACAAATATGTCTGAACTAACATTTGCTTTGTAAATTAGGATGGGATCTCTTCTGAAGGCTAAGTTGAGAATGAGCCTATGTTGATCAGTTATAAGAAAGAAGCTTTTCCTCAAACACTTGACTGGGGGGCTCAGAGTATTCAAAACAATTACAACCAAACCTAGTGTGACAGAATGCATTTTGAATTCATTATCACAGTTGAATGATTCTTGAAAAACATTACTTCAGGAGTGCCAGTTTAAATTTGCCATTGAACTCTACATTCCCCAGAGTTAGAATTATGTAAACACACAAAATCCAATGTCTACAGGAATATAGTAGAGCTCATTTTTAGAACAAAAATGTACACATTTTGGAATGTGTACAATAACCACAGTACAGAAAGGGAGTAGAGATATTTTAATGTTATCCTTTTATCCTAATAGCCCACAGATTCTGTATTAATCTGTTAGAGTTTCTATAACAACATAGACTAGC